GCTCAGGGAAATTCATTAACTGCCTCTCCACAGAGACACTATGGAAATCATTCAGCTACAAAGGGAGACGGCGAGAGAGAAGGAGGAGGAGGTAGCGGGCGGGCGGGGGGTTCGGGGGGGTTTGGTGGTGTGAATGGGGGCTATATTATCCTATTAGATGGTGGATATGTCTCCTTACCCTCCCAAGTCATGAGAAAAACATTAATTTTAAGTGAGAAAAACGAGCCAGAGGAGCGAGAGTCACCGAAAGAGACAGATACAGAGAGAGAGAGAGGAGAGGAGAGGGAGGGGAGAGAGAGAGAGAGAGAGACGGTGAGGGTCTTTACGTTGCTCTTTTATCGAGCTGAAATAGAGAGTCCCCTGGCTCCATTTACCTTGGCAATGAGCGGCCGAGCTCTCCATGAATGCCATTTAAAATGCCATAGAGATTAAGCATCCTCCCTCTCTCTCCCTCTCTCTCTCTCTCTAGCTCTCTAGCTCTCTTTTCCTATGTCACTCTCAGTCTCAACAGCTCGCACACACACACACCCACACACACACAGTGTGCTCATCATAATATGTGATTAGGAAAATAGCTTTGAGATTCATGAGTAAAGCCCCTCTAGGTGCCCCGCGCTAAGGGGGGGGGGGGGCCGGCGCAGCAGAAGAGAAGGAGGCAGAGGACCGTCACTTAGCCACACTGAGCTTTAAGCACTGTAATTAAATCATTAGATTTTTTCCCCCTCCCCTCTCTCCCCCTCCCTCTCTCTCTCTCCCTCTCTCTCTCTCTCTCTCTGTGTATCTATATTTATGGGGATAGAGTAATTACACAGCTAACCTCTGAAGGAACCCAGGAGGGCCACAGGGCCACTGAGCAGGGCACAGGGTGCTGAACCTCATTAGCACTCTCTCTCTCTCTCTCGCCCTCTCTCTATCCCCCGTCAATCTGTTTCCAAGTCTCACCTTGCCATTTCAATATATCCAATACGATAGAAATACATATTTACGCACACTGACCGTGACCGTATCGTGCTCATCTCTGTACCTCCAGGAAAAATCGACTTCCGTCGATAATCGCGTACAAGTCCTCGCACGTCCGTCTGACCGCACCGATGGCTCCCAGCCCATCTGCTGATCAGGAAGTCCCGGCCCATCTGCAAATCAGCCGTCAGAGTTTAAAGGGGAAACAAGGACACCGTAAATATTACATATAAATAAATACATTAAAAATAAATAAAAAATATATATAATATAAACAACTATACATAATGTATATTATTAGCATCAATAATAATAATTTTTTTTATATTTATAATAAAATCAATTTTAATTAAATATTACATTTAAATGTCACTATAATAGTTCTATTGTCTGGTTTCTTACATGTAATTAGCCAACTGACCACCAGGAGCGGACTGTACCAGTTGCTCACCCTTTGCTTTTCCTGTACGCACACGCACTAAAAAAAAAAAAACAAAAAAACAAAAAAACGGTAGAAATTAGACACACACACACATTCGCACGCGCACGCGCACGCACACACGCATACAGGCATACACTCACACACACGACCTGGGCTAACCAATGCACTAATCGCCTGCCCCGGGCATAGGAGGAGCTTGGTGCTTAAGTAGGCTGCCAATCAGTCACTCCGCATCAGCTCCACATCCAGAAGTTCCCGCGGCTCCAGACACTCGCATCACTTCAGCATTTCAGGTGCCAAACCGCAGCTCTGATTGACACAACCGAGGGGTCAGGAGCGGAGATAGTCCTGACAGGGTGTTTTTTTGTTTTTTAAATAATAACAATAATTATAATAATAATAATAAAAAAAACACCCACACTCGGGACGACTTGTGAGTCAGACTACCTAACAGTCTTTCTGAGGATTTATACTTTTTTTTTTTCTTCTTTCCTCCTGCTTCTTGTTTTCTGCGTTTGCCACTTTTGGAGAGACCCCTCCGCTGGACATGTCTTTCCCTCAGCTGGGGTACCCCCAGTTCCTCGGCGCTTCTCCGGAGCTTTACGCGGGCGAGCGGCCGTCCTCTGCCCGCGAGGGAGGCACCGAGGGCGGCGTGAGCTCTTCCTCCTCCACGGCCGCCGCCACCGCCGCCGTGGGCTCGATGCTGGGGATGTACGGCAGCCCGTGGATGGCTCATAACTACAGTGCCTTTCTGCCGTACAGCGGAGCCACAGACCTCGCACTCATATCGCAGATGGTGAGAGTTGACGCGTGTTTGACTGAAGACTGAGGGCGGATCGGGTTTAATGACACAGCTGATGCCGGATAATTCAAACTGAATGATGATGAAAACTGCCTCTTTATTTTTTTTATATAAATTAAATTACAAATACAGCGATTAGTTCCGTTCATTTTTATCCCATTAGTAAAATAATTCAAAAAATGCGTTTAAAGTACAGGACGTGTGTGTAAAATATTCAAATGTGGGTCAAATATATGATTTTATGTTGGAGATTCACTTTATATGTTTTTATATATTTATGTAAATTACACATGTATGTTTAATCACAGGTAAAGTTTCTCCTTATTTTTTTGTAAACACAAGCGTGGACATATTTAGACATCATCTGTAGAAATATAATTAAATATATTTTTTAAAATTTTATCAACCAATCAGTGTAAAGTCAAAACTATTAGTAATATTAATAAAAAAATAATGCTGCAGTATTTAATCGCATCACAGTTGAAGGAAATATATATTGGAAAATTTAAAAAAATATTTCCCGTCATTTTAGTTACACCTTCCAAAAAGGTGCAAAATCAAAAAATCGCTAAAAAAAAAAAAAGTTGCAACAGCCAATAATTCATTCTCCATGAACATTTCTAGGGCTCCCAGTACGAGCTGAAGGACAGTCCCGGATCCCACGCTGCCTCCCTGCCCGTCCACGCCGCTCAAGGTTTCTACTCCTACGGTCAGTACCCGTATGGAGACCCTTCGAGGGCCAAGACGGCCACGCGCGAGACCACCAGCACCTTGAAGGCCTGGCTGCAGGAGCACCAGAAGAACCCGTACCCGACCAAAGGAGAGAAGATCATGCTCGCCATCATCACCAGGATGACACTCACACAGGTGGGCCGCGCGTCAAGTGTCACATGCGTTAATGGGCATTTAGCAGGTGAATCACAGAGGCAGCCAATCAAAGGCTCGTTTCCAAAGGTCAGATCCACACTTGAAAAAAAAACCCTGTAATTTATTTTTAAAAATAACAAGAAATCACCCACGGAGTCCAAAACTCCATGACAATAGTGTGCATTTTTTGACAAATTATTTTTATTTTTTATTTACATCCCTGATTGTCACACATGACACATAAAAAGCTATTATTTATGTTTAAATTAATATCTTATCGCATCTTGGGGAAAACTATTTTTTATTATTGTTTTTTTTTACACTTTTTTTCATTTTATTCCTGTTTTTATTTGCAGGTGTCCACGTGGTTCGCCAACGCCCGCCGGCGTCTAAAGAAGGAGAACAAGGTCACCTGGGGCCGCAGCGCTGAGGACCGGGACGGCCGCATCTTCAGCAGCGACAACGAGGACGAGCCCGGCAAGAACGGCAGCGACAACGAAGACGAAGAGGAGGAGATCGATTTGGAAACTGTGGATATAGAGAGAACCGAAGGACAGAGGGCAGAGGAGCAAGGCTGCTCCAGCAGAGACGCACTGCTGCCGGAGAGGGAGCAGACGGCGGAGTCGAAGATGCCGGAGAGTGGCAGGACGCAGGGCTCGGAGGGCCCACGAGGAGGAGCTGGGACGGGCATTTCTCTCAATAACTCGGCTGTTATCAAAATCGGATCGGATCATTCTCCCAGCAGACAGGAGTGCCAGAGTCCGGCGCAGAGCAAACCCAAAATCTGGTCTTTGGCTGAGACCGCCACGGCCCCCGACAGCTCTCACAAATCCTCCTCCGCGGCCCATGCGCATCACCCGGCTTTGGCCTCCGCGGGCCACCCGGCCTTACTCCCGGGTCATGGGATATACACGTGTCAAATTGGTAAACTGCACTCCTGGGCCAACGCGGCGTTTCTAAACACCAACTCTCTTTTGAACATGCGCTCGTTCCTCGGCGGAGCCACAGCCGGACATCTGCCAAATCATGGCCCAGTGGCGGCCGCGCGTCATGACGCACGGCCGGTGGCGGCAGCGGCCGGCACGGGAACGTCGGGGACGGAAGAGGACAGTGACCTGGAGTCGACGGGAAGCTTCAGTCCGAAAAGAGATGGTACACACAGCGATTAATCGTGCATTTATTTAACGAATTATTAATTTTTTTTTCAATGCATAAAAGTTTTCCATAAGTTTTAATAAAATCCAGTAAATGGACATATTTATAACTAAGTAAAGTGACGTAAATGTTTGTATTTTAGATGCATGTGCTAAAACGCGGCCTCCTCTGTCTTGTGAGTTAACCTTAAATGACGTTAATAGCCGATTAATTGCCAAATATATCTGTGAACTAAACTGAAATATAAATATCGTCAAATATTATACAGATGAAATCAGATGTAATTAATGCCTAACCTCTCTCTAACAGATGAGGAGAGCGACCACGGGCCTGATTCCCTGAAGTCCCCGTTTCAGCTGATCACTGACAGGTAACCATTGAAATCAATTCAATTATCGAATTCGATTTTTTTTCTCCCCCCCTGTGCTCACGCGGAACATCAGCGGCAGTAAACAGTGAAACACCTGACTGCACAGGAACTCTAA